AACTTATTAAGAGAGATCCTATGAAGTATGCTTGTAAAAACAAGAAAGAAAGAAGAATCTTTGCCTGTTGGGCTTTCAAGAGCAGTATCACCCTTCAACCTGCATGATGCTGAAGTGACTAAGATTTGTTTTGGCGTTTCTTTCAAGCTGAAAGAAATTATATTGTTATATAGTCTCTTAGAGTCTATTTTCATTTAAAGCAACGTGTGTTTAAACCTTGGAGTGTTAGTAAAAGGAACTTCTATAATAGAACATATTAATTATATGCATCCACATTTTTAGCATGCTCAAATATGAAGCTTGAGTCCTGCTCTCGTAATATGAGTTCAGCAAAAGTTAGCTGTTTCCCTTTAAGAATCCTGTTAGAGCTGCCTGTTTATTTCTCTAGAATAAAAAATGGAAAGTTATTGGAAGCTTGATGTTCCCAAACTTAAAAATCTACTGAATCTTTGAATTTTGAATTTGAAAAGTGCCTTGCAATAGCAATAAAACATGCATCTGTTTGTGTTTGGAGTTCAATATAAGATTTGAAAGTTTTTTATGTTCACATGCGTTTCGTTATATTTTAACAGTCTTATTTTGCTCCAAGAAGCTTTTTTGGGGTGGAAGATTTTCTTGATGATGACAACAGCAGACCATACACTTACCAGAAGGAGAAAAAGTCAAAAAATCCGAACAAGCATGTATCCTTTAAGCAACGTACTGTAGCTTATATGGAGCCATTTACTCTTGATGTCTTCATATCAAAGCGCTTAGTTTCCGCCTCAATCACGCACAGGGTAACAAGCAAGCAGGTTGCAGTCACTGGTACTAACTCCAAAGATATCAAGGCAGTACTCAAATCACGATCTGACATACCTGCATGTTTGGCTGTGGGCCGGATTTTGGCTGATAGAGCAAGAGAAGCAGACGTGTACACAGCTTCTTATACTCCTAGAGAGAGAGACAAGTTTGAAGGAAAAATTAGAGCAGTTGTTCAGTCCCTCATTGATAGTGGCATAGATATCAAAGTTTTTCTTGATTGATCCTTGTTTTAGTCTTTTCCCGCAGTTTTTATGGCGATGTGCCTTCAAGATTCTCAGGGGCGAGATCTGTGACTTTAGTTTGTGAAACAGACTTATGTTTTCAAACTTGAAAGGTAAGTACTTTTCATCAAAGCATTTATGCTTCAATGAACTGAATTTTTTTGTATTAGGTCGCATCAGTAAAATGCCAGAAATTAGAATA